GAATACCCAGGGTTGGGAGCAGCCGTGTCCCCTCATCCCATTGTCCTCTCCCCTCTGCAGACCTGTGCAAGAACTGCCACCACCTCATTGCGCGCCATGAGTACACCTTCAGCGTGGTGGACGACTACCAGGTACCCCAGGGACCCCACATTGTCCCCCCACGGCTCCGGAGACACCCCAGTCCGAGCCCCAGGCAGTTCCTGTGGTGTTCCAGGCTCTCCCTGTGCTGGCAACCACGGGATGCTTCCAAAAACTATCCCTGTGTTTGGGGCTACCTGGAGCCGCTGGTGCTAGTCCCTTGTCCCAGCTCACCTCGTGCTTCCCGTGCAGCCCGGTGGGAATGTCAGTGCAGCAAAACATGGCTCTTCCCACCTCCTCCCTGGCACATTTCCTATGCAGCAGCTAAACGCTGGAAAATGGGCTGGGGGGGAGCTGGAAACAAGATCCTGCCGGATCTGATTGCAATCGAGGATCGGGTGATGGTGCTGGGTTGGGTTTCCCTGCAGGAGAGCAGCAGAGCTGCTTACACCATCCTGTGCTCATCCCCTCTGTGTCCCACTAGGAATACACCATCCTGTGCTCATCCCCTCTGTATCCCACTAGGAATACACCATCCTGTGCTCATCCCCTCTGTGTCCCACTAGGAATACACCATCCTGTGCTCATCCCCTCTGTATCCCACTAGGAATACACCATCCTGTGCTCATCCCCTCTGTATCCCACTAGGAATACACCATCCTGTGCTCATCCCCTCTGTATCCCACTAGGAATACACCATCCTGTGCTCATCCCCTCTGTATCCCACTAGGAATACACCATCCTGTGCTCATCCCCTCTGTATCCCACTAGGAATACACCATCCTGTGCTCATCCCCTCTGTATCCCACTAGGAATACACCATCCTGTGCTCATCCCCTCTGTATCCCACTAGGAATACACCATGCTGTGCTCATCCCTTCTGTATCCCACCAGGAATACACCATGCTGTGCTCATCCCTTCTGTATCCCACCAGGAATACACCATGCTGTGCCTGCTCTGTGGCCGGGCTGAGGACTCCATCAGCATCCTCCCTGATGACCCCCGGCAGATGACTCCACTCTTCTGAAGCTGGTTTGGATCCTAGTATGAATCCCTGGGTGTCCCAGGATCTCCTTCCCAATCCCCATCAGCACTGGGAGATCCCAGCACAGGGATCCCTGTGGATAACGTGGTCCTTTATCTGATTCTCTTTTCCAACCCCTCAGCCTGGATGTGAACGCTCGATGCTGGATGCTCCCATGCCCACATCCCAGCTCCAGGAACAGTAGGAGCACCACAAGCCGAGCCCCCCATGCGCTGAAGACATGAAGGGGGCCCCAGTGTGTTGTCACCCCAAAAAGGGGTCCCAAAGGATGCTCACCCCACCTCAGGAACCCACATGTGTGGGGCAATAAATGTGACATGTTATAGCTCAGTGGTGACAGCTTTGGGGTGGCCTTCACCCCCCCTGTGCTCCCCAGAGCTGGGGGGGGGCAAGGAAGGGACTGGGGGGGCTTTTCCTTCCTGTGAGATTATGGAATTCCTTCCCTTTGAGTGGATCCAGCCCTTCCCAGTGCCCATCCTGCTCTCCCAAACCCTGCTGAGAAGTGACTTGGAATCCTTCTGCTCCTTTGGGATCACTGCACCCCCAGGACCTGTTTCCCTGGACTGTGTCACCCAACAACAGCCCAAAATCACTCCCTGGGGTGCAATGCTGCTTTTGGCACCCAGCAGCACCCCAAAATCACTCCCTGGGGTGCGATGCTGCTTCTGGCACCCGGCAACACCCCAAAATCACTCCCTGGGGTGAGATGCTGCTCTGCGACCCCCCTCAC